ACTGCCTCAGCTGCCTCCTCTGTAACATAGGAATAATAATAGTACCCTCCATCCTAGGTTTGTGATTAAGGAAGTTAATGCATGTAAAGCATTTTAGAACAGTGCCTGGGACATGGTAAATGCTCAGTAAATGTTAAGTCTTATCTGTGTCAGGGAGGAGCAGGATGAAAGCCCAGGAGATAGACTGTGGGCAAATTAGGGAAAAAGGGAAGGCTCAGATGGCTGGGTAAGGGGTTGGGTTGCAAGGTTTTGAGTAGAGGAGTATACTCATGCACAGAAAGATGTCAGTGAGAGCCAGGGTGTTAGGGCACAGGAATCTATTCCCACTCATCCAACCAGTGATATAACTAAGCAAATCCCATGACACCATTACGAGTCTGTTGTTTAAGGCCCCTTCCAAAATTCACATTGCAAAGTGATGCAGGTAGGCTCTGGTGGAGACAGTAACCATGGGGGGCGAGGGGGATGGAAGGTGGTGACTACTTGATGCCTGCCTTGGTAATGAGAGAACAGATGAAAGAAGACATCAGAGAAGATTCCAGAGTTTAAGTCACAATAGGGAGGGTGCAGCTGGGTGTAGTGGTGCATGCCTATCATTCTATTGACTCAGGAGGCTGAGGCAAGAGGATCACAAGTTCAAGACCAGCCTCAGCAACTTAGTGAGGTCCTATGTAACTTAGTAAGACACTGTCTCAAAATAAAAAAAATAAAAAGGGCTGGATGTTGCTCAGTGTTTAAGCACCCCTGGTTTTAATACCTGGTACATAAAAGAAAAAAAGAGGGCTGGGGATATAGCTCAGTTGGTAGAGTGCTTGCCTTGCATGCATAAAGCCCTGGGTTCAATCCCTAGCAACACACGCACACACATACACACACACACACACACACACAAAAAAGAAAGAAATGTAGACATAGATTTTTGGGAATGATTTGAAGGGCAATTGAAAGCCATGAGAATGGATGCCGCTAGATCTTCAGTGTGACTTTGGGTGATCTGTCTCTACCTCTAATGACTTCTGGTCTAAAATATAACCTTGATGGCTGAAAGAAGTGTTAGTGCAAAGTCAGGGTGGTGAAAATAAATCCTGGAACCAATATAAATGGAAATTTGTGGCAGCTCCTTAGAGGTCTGGAGAGTAATAAACAGGGTGACTTAAAGGAAATGTTCACAGGAGATCCTGATTTCAAAGCATCTTCAGAGGAAGGTTGTAGCTTTGTCCCTAGTCTCTGCATTAGTTTCAGGCCTTGGCTCTGGCTCTGGCAGGAAGCCAGCCCACTTCCCCTCCAGATTGCCCTGTCACTATAGTTTTTTTTTTGTTGTTGTTGTTGTTCTCCCCATTCTTCTCTTCTTCAGGGGGCTTCTGGAAACCTTAGAAATCATCCCGATATCTTGTCACTGTCCAGTTGTCACTCATTCCTTCTCCTGCCCCCTGGAGTTAAAAAATACATTGTATAGGGGCTGAGGTTGTAGCACAGCGAAGGAACACTCGCCTAGCACGTGAGAGGCCCTGGGTTTGATCCTCAGCACAACATAAAAGAAAATAAATAAAATAAAGGTATTATGTTCAACTACAACTAAAAAATAAATACTAATAAAAAAATACATTGTACAGCTGTGTGCATTGGCGCATACCTGTAATCCCAGCAACCTCAGTAGGCTAAGGCAGGAGTATAGTGAGTTCAAAGCCAGCCTCAGCAAAAGTGAAGCACTAAGCAACTCAGTGAGACCCTGTCTCTAAATAAAATACAAAATAGGGCTTGGGGATGTGGCTCAGTGGTTTAGTGCCCCTGAGTTCAATCCCCCGTACCTCCACCCCTCCCCCCCAAAATTGTACAGTTTAAGTGTGTCAAGTAAAAATGTTGGCTTTGAAATACAATTGCATTAGGTTGCATTTTGTATTTTGTTTAGGTTTTTTTTTTTTGTGTGTGTGTGTGTGTGTGCGTGTGTGTATCAGGGGTTTGAACCCAGAGCCACAGCCCCAGGCAATTTTATTTTTTATTTTGAGACAGAGTCTCACTAAGTTGCTTAGGGCCTCACTAAATTGCTGAGACTAGTTTCAAACTTGCATTCCTCCTGCCTCAGCCTCCTAAGCCACTGGGATTATAGGTGTGTGCCACCGTATTGGGCTTGTTTAATTTTATAATTAAGAGCCAAGACTTGGGAACTGACATGAACATGAATGTTTGTGAGATTTCAAGTAAACTGGTGGCCCTCGGTTCATTGGGGACTACAGTTCTCATTTTCAGTCTGAGGATGGGCAAGCATGCTGCAATGGAAACCAAGGTTAGAAAGAATGCAGTGGTGGTGGTGATGGAGCAGTGGCTTGTGATGACAGTGCTGGCAGCCACAAATTCCCAAAGCAATTGGCAAGAATGCCAAAAAAATCCCTGGAATAGTAGGACAAGATCTATTTTACAACTTCTCTAAGATGGGGATTTCCAAGGATCTAGTGCTAATGGGAAGTCTTAGCCATACTAGGCAACTAACTCATTCATGCAACCATCATTCACTGAGCAATAAACTCAGATTCCCAGGGCCAGGCCAGGTGGAGACATCAGCAATAAATATATTATATATAATACCCTCTGTCACAGGACTGAATACTAGGAGGATGAAAGGGAATCCTTGCATCCTGACAATCCAGATGGGAATTCCACCTTAGGGGGAGTCTTGAGCCAAAGTCCACTGCTCCCCCAAAGCACACACTTTTCCCACCTAACTCTTCCTTCACATATCATACTTTAAGAACTGGCCTCTCTGGACATAGTCCCCTTTTCCCAGGTCTTGTTGCTTTCTTATACCTGAGCCTAATCCTGGTCTCAAGTCCTTTCCTTGAATCAGAGATTAAACTCCATAAGTGTTCCCCATTGTCTCCCAACTCTAATCCCCCCCACATACTTTTCCACCAAGCTTTTTTCAAACTTTGTCAGCTCTTAGCTGAGTCTAGTTCAGTTTGGAGAACGTTTTCATTTTGGTTCTTCCAGGCATTAGGCCAAATGACCCCACTTAATGCTGATGAAGACTCACTGACCTAAGCACAGGAAGTTCTGGGAGGTGAAGGACATTTCTGGGTAATTCAAAAATAAATCCTTTCTCTTTTGTCCCTGACCCTGGGACAACCTATTGAGTCCATAGTCCAACCAGGAATATAGAAAGGAGGTAGGAGAACTATCTCTAACCAGTTGCAGAACCTAGGTCAAATTACTTTCTGGGCCTGTTTTCTTCTTTATAAAATGATCCTGAAGGCTCCCTTCAATTGTGATTGTTTATGATTCACTGTGATTGTTTAGGATACTATGCACCTGTGTTGGTTTTAGGACAGTCTGGGAAATCCGATGCCCTGCCCACAAGCACAGTTGTCAGTCCCACTGCTGCTCTCTCATGCCATGTACAGTATAGGAAGTTTACCTTCCAGGGTTAGCTTAGAGGTACAGCTTATTTTAAAAAGGAAGCTCTACTTTTGATTCAACAGTAGATCTAAGTGTCTGGTTGGACTTCAATCTGCTCCAAATTTCCAGGAGACAGGAAGCATAATGATGTGTAATTATTTAAGACCTAGACCCTCATTCTTCCAGAGAAGAGCTGGGAACAACCTGCTCACAGAGATGTGCATAGGGAGAGCATATCAGGGGTTTCACCGATGTTATGTGGAGGGGAGGCCTGGGATTCTACATATGAAACTTTGGGGAAAGAGTAGATGGGGGATTCAGGGAAAGGGGGAGGGAGGTCAGGGAAACTACAAACTACCAAAGGCAGGTACTGAATTTAGGAATCATTGGCGGAAGTAGTGGGTGAAAGGAGAATACAAAGGACACAAACTGCTGATAGTCTTAGGCCGGCGAAGGCACTTTGGGATAGTACAACCCCAGCTCACTGTATATACAGGAGGCAAGTTGTTCCCCTGTCCCAGATGTTCCAGTCCCATACCAGCTCCTGTAGAGTTTTCTTTGGCTCAGGGAAGCATAGGCCTCCCCTGAGCCCCGGCCCCCCTCTACCGCAAAGCAACTGGCTTCCATTACCCCTGACAGCTCCAGAGCAACAGCCCAGCCCCCGGCCCGTCTGGCTCCATGCCATTCCCTTTTATGGTGAAGCCGAGAAAGCCAGGAGTAAGTGGGGGTGGAGAAGAAGGTTCTAGCTGGGCAGAGGGTTGTAGAGCTAGGCTGCTGCTCCCCCTCACAAGAGACCCTGGGCTGTCTACCACAGCTACCTCTCCTTTCTCTGCCCGGAACCCAGGATCCCTCTGGCTTGTCCCAGCCCTTCCTCCCCTACCCCCTCCCTCACATCCGGGGGGGGTGATTTCCCACTTGGCAGAGGTCCCACAGCTTGGTTTTTGATTCCGGGAGGGTCCGCCCTATTTTCTACGCCCACCTCCAGGAGTGGGGTGGCAGTGGGGACCTGGAGAAGACAGGTTCTGTTCAGATTACAGGCAGATCAGTCTCCTAGGTAGGATGTGGGTCAGAAAGGTTGACAGCAGCAGCCGCATTCCTATTCCCCTTCTGCACCTCTGCACTGCCTCCCACCCAGTCCCCGCCGCCCAAGCCAGGGAGGGGACCGTGAGGGCAGGACACAAAGGAAGCACCTGGCTGGGCCGGGCCGGGCCGGGAAATGAAGGGTGGGCAGCAGTGCGGGGGGCCGGGACAGGAAAGTGGGCCAGCGCTTGCGGGTCAAGCTAAGTCTCCCGCCCGGCCCCGCAGCCCACCCTCGCCCTAATACACTCCTCGGCTCCAGGGAGGCGGCCACCACAGCTTTGCTAACCCCGAGCCCGACCGCCCCAGCTGCGGCCAGCTGTGCCACTAAAGCACGAGGCAAGCCTCCGCGGCCCCGCCCACAAGCACAGTTGTCAGTCCCACTGCTGCTCCGCCCCCTGCGCGCGCGCAGAGGGAGCAGACGAGACCGCGGGGCTAGAGTGGTGGTTCCAGCTCGCAGCTCGCAGCCCGGCGGAAGTACCTGCTTGGGCCGCAGCTGACGCTACCAAGTTCCGGTCCAAGTCTCCTACCTCCAGCTGGTACGCAGGCAGCGTCGGAGCGGAGTCGAGCTGGTCAGGTGAGAGGCACGCAGGCGCTGTCTCACGGACCAGCCCCAAGTTGGCCGGGTCGCGGGGGCTCAGACTCGCCCCAGAGAGCGCGAGAAGCGTGCCGACCCGAGGCTCAGTCCCTCCCCTTCTCTGCAGGATGATCACAGACGTTCAGCTCGCCATCTTCGCCAACATGCTGGGCGTGTCGCTATTCTTGCTTGTGGTTCTCTATCACTACGTGGCCGTCAACAATCCCAAGAAGCAGGAATGAAAGTGGCGCTTTCTCCGCCCCAGGTAACGGTCGGGGCTGTAGCGCCCAGTCCCCAGAGAGCTGAGTGGAGAGGACCGCGTTAGGGCCTGCAAGGTTCGAAACTTTAAATCCGAAAGTGTCGGGCCAAGCATGAGACAGTCCAGAATTGGGCCCCTTTATCCGCAGAGTACAGTGCTTTGCAGTGTCCTGCTCCTTCCTCCTAAACTTCTCCCTGCGAGGATAGGATAGGATAGGATGGGGTGGGGTGGGGGTATATCCCAATCTTCCTCGGTCCCTATCTTCTTGGGTTTTCCAGTAGCAAGTTGCCCAAGTTGGGGGCATTGGAGGCACTGGCAGCGGTAGAAGCAAAGGTGCCATGAGGATAAGCGTTCTTAAATAGCCGCCACTTTTCCAGGGTTGTTTAGGCTTCTTATTTAGGTAGAATTTTTTTTTTTTTGAGCGGGTGAAAAATGTCTTCTATTTCCATATTCTTAAGCCAGAGTCATTGGTTTAGTGGTTGGGTACTGTAGACCCAAGCTAGAAAGAATAAAGTGGGGGTGGGGAGCTTGGGAATCAACCTTAAGTTTGGGTCAGAGATGTAAAGGGGAACAGGTTCACTGGGAGTTGCCTCCAGGATTCCCAGGGGAAAGCTGCAGCATTTTCCTTACCTCAGGTCTTTCCCCCTCTTTTCTAGGGTTCCAGGACATAGTCTGAGGCAAGATGGAGGGTGTGAGGGGCCTTCACACTTCACTTCATCCCTTCTACCCATCACAACATACAAAGCAACTACACCTGGATTTTTCCAAACAACTTTTATTTCCTCAAAGTCTTCCTTAACCCTATGGAACAAGAAGCTGCCACTGAATAGGGCCCAGTATAGGGGCTGCTTTTCTACTCCCTCCCCTCCCCCCAATACAAAAATATAGATATATATTTTTTTGTGGTCCCAAAATCTTGTGCTGTGGAGGGAGGGAAGGGGTACAGGTCCCTGTTTTGTCCCATCTCAAGGTAATGCTCTGCAAGGCCTCAGATAGTGGCTGGCATTCCAAAGAGTTATGTTGTAACATGGAATCTGCAGCCCAAGGAGGGGACTATCATATTTCTCACTGTGTTCCCCAACTTTGGGACCCTATCCTGGGCATGGAAGTAAAGGCATTATCAAACCCGGGGAGAAACGGTGAGTGGGGGAGATTTAGGTACAAAACAAACCTCAGGCTGGCCCAAGGGCCCCCTGCTGTAACAAATCCGGGATGGGACATCAGATAGAGTACAGGAAATAGGAGAAAAGGCAGGGGCAGAGCGGGGCCGTGGGGGGCCGGCCTGAGGCATCCTGCAACAGAAAAGAGAGAAGAATCAAGGTTATGGTCTGTTAGCCAGAGGCTGGTAGCTTTAAGAGAAGAGAGGCAGGTTGATGGCTGCACAGAGGTCACATGCTGGAACCTGCTAGCTAGCTCCTAGGCCTTAAGACTCTAACTAGCAGTTGTTTTCTAGTCCTTTTAAATAAACACTGGGGTCATGATGGAATAAAAAATCAGGGACTAGATGCTTAATGAAAGCACATTCAGTCTTTGGGGTTAAAGGGAGTAGGGAAGGATGAAAATGATCTGGAATGGTAGAAATGGAGATGAGGGGATAGAAGAAATAAGGGGAGGGCTGAGAGAACTGGGTGTAGGTGCTCACCCTGGTATAGCAGGACCGGGTCCCGCCTCTGGCTCACTGCTTTCTCTGGTCCTGGAGATAGGGGATGTGGGGCCTGAAGAGCCTCTTACCCCTCTGCAAGTCGGCGGTGAGCCCCGGCCCAACCTGGGCCTAGCCTGTGTAGACAGGATTAGGCTAAGAGGCTGGGTTCTTCCATGAGCTTTTCTGCTTCTAGGTTTGCCTCTTGAGTTTCCATGCATAAGAGTCTAGTATAGGAGTCAACAGAGGTAGTAGAGCCTTGAATTCTTGGGCATTGTTTCTAGTTGAGAGGATGAGGCAAGATAACAGAACTCCTAGCTTCAGTCCATGACTATGTACTCCAAGTCTTACGTAACTAGCACAAAGGTGCCAGAAGGACCTAGCATTTAGCCTTCATGGGTAAACCATGGCCAAGGCCTGCCTGAGTACAAAAGCACTGTGTAGAAATATGAGGGACTGGTAGACCTCCTTCAGGTCCTTCTAGGCCTCAGCCCCTGCCAGAGCAGCTTAAGCTTCACCCATCCAGTCAGCTTCTGCCTGTACCCAACTTTAGCTAAACTAGTATGGGGATCTGGACTGACTTGGAGGTGGTGGCAAGGCTGTTCCTAGGAGCAGCAACCAAATGTGTTACCTGGGGAATCCGGGACCCCTCCTGGCGGAAACTCTCCTCTGGCAGGTCTGGGCAGAAAGAGAGGAGAAGCTAAGGGCAGGGGCAGGGAAAGCCAAAGCTAGCAGGCTGAGGTTGGGGTGCATCTGGCAGGGACAGTGGGTTGGAAGCAAGCAAGACACCTGGCTGATGGGGATTGGGGTGGGGCTGGGCAGATAAGCACTCAGGCACCAGAGCAGCTCCATGATATGGCTGGAAGTAGAGGCTGTAAAGCAGGGCTGAGCATTTTCCCTCCCACTGCCCCGATGAACAGTGCCTTGATGGGTTCTGCCAGACTTCTTATGATGGGGACCAGAGAAAATGTTACCTGCAATCGAGTCCTGATGCAGGGGATCCGAGCGCCAGCCCCTAGCAGACCTTTCCCAATCACCATGACAGCCTCTGGCTTGTCCCCTGAAGATAAGAGTGAGCAGCTACTCCCTAAAGAACAGAGGAAACTGATCATCAAGGTAGGGGCTATGAAGAAAGGAGGTAATTTCCTTTAGATCAGTTTCTCAACTTTGTGTGTGTGTGTGTATACGCGCGCTTTTAGTGCTGGGGATTGAACCTAGGACTTTGTGCATGCTAAGGTAGAACTCTACTGCTGAGCTGTACCCCCAGCCCCCAATCTTCCACTATTGACATTTTGTGTTGGGTAATCCTTTGTTGTAGGAGCTCTTTTGCACATTGTAGGATGATGAGCAGCGTCTACTATATGCAGTTTCCTCCCCAGGCCTCCTCCATTGTTACAACCAAAAAAGTCTCCATATGTTGCTGGGCAAGATCACCCCTGAGTGAAGCTTCACTCTAGTCCAAGAGGGAGAACAGAGAACTTTTGACTAAAAGTAGAATCTACTCAAATTTAAGTACTATATAAATTTATAGACCCTGGGGCCACTCCAATCATATATTTAGGCATTTGAGGATCAAGTCCACTCTATCCAAGACCTGGATTGAGGGCTACCCATTGAATTGACAGGTTGGGAGTAGTGGCTCGGGGTAAGGCAGAAATCAATCCCATCCAGTCCTTTACACATCTGGGTCTATAGCTTAAAAGGAGAGTAGATGGCTTAAGTTTTCTGTGGATGATAGGACACTGCAGTGATGACAGGTGAAAGGCCTATGCTTTTTTTCTTCTCCAGTTTTGTCTTAATGTTGCCCAGCTTCTGGAATCGGGGAACTTGGGTAAGTGGCACTTTGCAGGTAGGAAAAGTCCTCAGGTTCCTCAACTATAAAAATGAGGATTAAATTAGATAGTGTGTATAGCAGTGCCTGGCACATAGTAAACATTCAATAAATATTATTTTATTTTACAAAGACGACATTTCAGTAAGTCCCAGCCTCCTGTACAAAGGCACAGGTTTAGAGATTTAGGGTACCAGGAGGATAACTGGTGCTCTTGGCTGGAGTGCCTTGTATTATATCAGGTCAAGGGAGCCCAAGTTAGGTGGCAGTGTGGCTAAAGGAATTTCTTCAAGCTTAACTGGGTGCCTGTTCTAAACCCTGGGTGGTAGGGAAGGGAAGAAGCTGGCCAACCCAGATTTCAGTGGCAGTGGGTACAGACCTGATAGACTGAGTGAATTGGGCAGGAGGCAGGAGCCCAGGTTGCGTGAGGAGGCTGGGCCAGTACTAGCAGGAGTTGGGGATGGGGCCAGGCTGCTTGCAGGAGGTCGATGGTTCAGTGGCTGTTGCCTCCGTCTCCTGTCCTGGCTTCGGGGCTCTGAGTGGAAAGGACACAAGCAGGTTAGTCACGCACTATTAGCTAGCCTTCACTGACCTGCTGGCTCCCCTTGGTCAGAATTTGTGTTTGTAAGTTTGTCATCAGACCAGCACCCTTCTTCAGAAGTAACTATACAATGGGTAGAAAGACCTCTAAAATTTATTTTAAAATTTATTCTAAAATCAGTTATTCATTTCTTGGTCTTCATCTTACCAATTCATTCTTTTGGCAGGAAATTATTGAATTTGGCTTCTAAAACTACTTTCCTAGGTTCTCCTCTTACCTCTAACTGCTCCTCTTAAATTGATCTTCCTGCCTCTTAAATGTCCATGTTCCCTACCATTCTGTCCTTAGGTCTCTCTTGTTCTACTTACTCTTATATTCCCAAATCTCTTTCTAGCCCTTTCTCCTGAAATCCAGCTGTACTTGTCCACTGGACATTTCTACCTGGAAGTCCCCTATGACCAAACCAAAACAGTTTCTCCCTCCCTCATTCTTCTTATCTTGGTGAAAAACCTAGAAACCCTGTTTTATCTTTCTACTCCTCCCTTACATTTAGGTTTGTATTTAGTCAAATCCTGATGGTTCTACCTCTGCATTCATCTGAATTCCTCCTTTCTTCTCCCTTGCCATTGTCCAGATATATACAGATCTTTAATTTCCACTCAAATTTTATTTCCCTATTGGTTTCCCCAGCTTGACTATCTTTCTTTTTACCATCCATCCTTTACATAGGTACCACAAATTACTTTTCTAAAACAGAGACCTGGTCAGAAATCACTGTGGCTTAGGCAAGGGGAAGTACCGAATGTCTTTTAAAGGATAAAGTCTAAACCTTTTTACATGGCCCATTCAAAACTCTGCCCAGTGTTGTTCCAATCCACGTATCCTTCGTACAATGCTGACCATCTGATCTCTTATACCCTTTGCTATAGCTCCTGCTGCTACTATTTGTGTAGTTCCTCTAGAATTTCTTTCCCTTTCTAGTGAATCCGACCATCTTCCCTGTCCCATCTCAAATGTTATCTCTGTGAGGCTCCTTGACAATTAGAGAGTTAAAACTAATTGTTCATTGTCCTTTGTTCAATGGCTAGTTGTTGTTCATGGATTCATCATCGCTTGGAGTTTAAAAATACATTTATACTCTGGGGCAACCCTTCCCAAGGCTGGATCCTTACTGCTATCTGTTCTGAAGGGTAAGGTCCCAGTGGGACAGATGGAGAATGGATGGAGTAGGGAGGCTTGCAGATTCAGTAGGTACTTCGTCATCACAGAGAGAAAACTGGTGCCAAATACTTTTTTTTTTTTTTTTGGTAGTAATGGAGGTTGAACCCAGGGCCTGGCGCATGTTAGGCAGGCATTTCACCACTGAACCATATCCCCAGCCTCCCAGGCCTCCAGTACTCTTGAACTTCCAGAACCAAGTTCAGTGAGTTACCAGCATGCCAGTGCCCTAACACGTGTTGGGTGTGAAAAGCCTCAGATATAGGAAGTAGGCGACCTCAACTTCGTCTTGTCTAGCTGCAGTAAGCAATAGTAACAGGCAGTATCATGAATACTTCTGAAAGTTTTCCAGATTAAAAAAAGAAGAAGAGCTGGGGTTGTGGCTCAGCAGTGGAGCACTCAACCTAGAATGTGTGAGGCCCTGGGTTTGATTCTCAGCACTACATAAAAACAAATAAAATGAAGGTATTGTGTCCAACTACAACTAAAAAATAAATAGAAGAATTTTAAAAAAGCACAAAGATCTCAGAATGGAAATCATTTTAGCTATGTGAAGTTGTACTGAGGCACTAGGTGCCAATTAAGATTCAAGGTATGTACTCATAAGAGTCAAAAACAACCACACCTTAGAGGCTTGTTTGAGAGTTGGCACAGAGTTACAACAGAAGCCAGAGAGACTTAGCTACAGTCAAATAACCTGAAACATTAGCCACCACCAATGACTTAAGAGATACTCTAAGGCCAAGACTTGGGTAATGCTGTGATTAAAACAAACATCAGAATGATGTGTAGGTGACAGTGCATAGTAGGCAGAAATAATGAAGTTGATTGAGGAAATCACAGATTTGTAGACAATCTGAGAAATATCTATACAGAAAGGCATGCTGAAATCACGTTAAGGGATGAACTCTCATCCCACCCCAAGAAAGGGAGAGAGACTTCGGGACATTATTGGTTATAGTAATAAACTGGACAACACTTCAGAAGTCGTGAAGCAAAATAGGCAAATGATGTAAAAATTGCCAATGCAAAATGGAGAAGGGATCATAGGAAAGAATACTAAGATTGTAACTCAGGAATTCCACCCCAATCAGGGTTTTAGGATGGGGACAAGGTCTGATTTAGGGGAAAGGCTTGCTCTGAAAGTATAAGGTATTTAAAGGTAGCATTTCAACCAATCTTCTCTTAAAAGACTGCCTCAAGACCTGGCCAGGATTGCCTATAATTTGTTAGGGCACACAGTTTCTAGTGTTTTGACTCTTGGCCCCTACTGTAATCTAGGCCTACTTAGTCCCTGTTGAGACAAAAATGAAATGGAGAAGCCCCAATTCTATATGTTTTGGTTCTATAGAAATAGCAGCTTAAGGCTGAGTGCAAGAGTGATACATGATGAGCTGTGTGCCCAGAGGTTATAAGACATTTTATGGAATCAGCCAGAGGTTCCATGTTGGGGTGGCAAGACAGTCTGAGGGCTAAGGTCTAAGGGTTAAGCCAAACTGATCTCACCTTGTGAAAGTTAAAATGGATGTTCTAAAGTCTCAATTTAGAATAGGAGTTAGTTGACTTGTGCCTATACCCTGTTTCATCTCCGCAAAAATCTTTAGAACTGTCCCCCATGGAATACCCCAGATCTTATTAAATCCCTGGGATGATCACAGGCCTGGTTTTTGCTCTCTAATTAAAGTTTTTATTCATTCAAAAAATATTTGCCTTCTACCTAATAAAGAGCTAGGCACAGTGCCAGATGCTAAATAGATGTGTTGGGAGACATTTCTTGATACTATAATTTACAGTGGTAAATGTAGAAGCGGCAATGGCAATGCAGGCACTAAGTCCTGTTGACTCCAGGGAACCTCTACTCACTGCTGGACATCAGCTGCTCTAACAAAAATTGCCTGTCAGCTGAGCAAAGGCATTAGAGATCAGCAAAGAGTTCTGGTAACCTCAGGTTTAAGTGACAGGTGGGAGGGATAAGAGCAATGGTGGTAGTGACATCTGAAGGCTCCTGCTTTTATACTTTAGCACCTTGTCTTGTCATACCAGCATTCTGCTGGGTAGGCTGGGGAGCCAGGAAGGAAGTTCCAAATTGTTGAATGAGACTATTTCTGGAACTCCAAGCTAGGACTAGAATAAAACAAGTGAAGCACCTAGAATGCAAAAGTGAAGAAGGCACTTGCACAGCCCTGTGAGTACCTACCTGCCTCCCCCTAGTCTTTGCCCTACTTTAATTCATATTTAATGGATATAAGGAAAAAATGTTTTACCTCCCCCACCCCAGCCCCAGCAGGCCCTTCTTTAGCTCTGTACCTGCTTTTGCAAGTTATCTTGAAGGCTTTTGATTTCTCTCAATTCATCACTGCATTAGCTATTCTCCAGTGACAACTACTTCCCCTACATCAACAGCAATCTGAGAAGGTGGTACTTCAGAACATGTTTTGTGGCTAGGGAGAACTAAGTAGAGAAGATTCTGGCACAAAGGTCAGAGGATGCTCGTAGCTAATGTTTACTGAACTTACAACCTTCTGTTCCAGGGCCATTCCTGTTTGCCCCAAGTTGGCTACTAGTTGGCCTTCTAAAATATTATCTCCCAGCCTCCAGACAGGACCTGTCAAACTAGTGCCCTGAATCTCTGCCTTAAGCTCCTGGTTGAGCTGCCTCAATCTTTTCTGAGATTCACTGGAAGCCCAATCTTGTACTTGTTTTAGCCAATAAGGATAGTAAATTAAATGTACAGTTAAATATATTTTTCTTGAGGTACTGGAAATTGAACCCAGAGCCTCATGCATACTAGTTAGGTGTTCTACCATTTAACTACATACCAAAGCCCTTTTATTTTAAGACAGTGTTTTGCTAAGTTTCCCAGGCTATGCTGGACTTTGTAATCCTCCTACCCCAACCTCCAAGTAGCTGGGATTATAGGCATGTGCCACTGCATCTGGCTGAGTTTCATAATTTTTATCTATTAGTGGAAATTTTCTTATAAATTCACATGTCAAAAAAATCCTTTTCCAAATCAATTCTAATTTGGGGTTGAAAGTGTAGCTCATTTATAGTTAAGATTTCTAAGATATGGGGGTTATGATCTTTCTAGATGGGAAAACAAAATATAGCTAGATATGGCATAGGCCAAAATACCAGATGTATGGAGCAGAAGTGTCACAAAGCAACAGGACAAATAACACAGGACAAAGAAGTTTTCCCAAGAGTTGGTTGAAGATACCATGTCCAAATGGCACATCAGAATGTGGCCCCTATCCAAAACTAGGGTCAGTCTTCCATCCTGCATGCTTAAAAGATAAAACAGCAAAAATCACAGTACCAGCAATGTCCAGGGGAAGAGAGTCAAAATTCCTGGGATCTCACCTTTCAATTCCTTACAGTATCACTGTTTGGTATTATTAGTAACTTATCTTGATTCCTTGATTGTATAGTTTCCTAATTCTTAGAAATATTTTTGCAAATCCTTGGGGTGTCTCTGTACTGGTACTCTTTCTACTTCGAAGCTCATTCCCTGGGGAAACATGCCTTCTCCCTTGATTTTTACCTGGCACCTATATGTGGATCACTCCTAGACCTTCAACCCCTTTGGCTCACCTTTTCTTCAGTCCTTTTCTACCTGCAGGGCATGCATGCATATATATATATATATATATATATATATCCTAAGGCATCCAAGCAAATCTGAAGTAGATCACTTATCACCCCACCACTACCAAAACAATGTCTTAAATGCCACCCTTACTTCTTTAGCTTGTATCCTTGAAAGCTTCATAGTTCCTCTCTACCCAGGAGTTCTGTTCCTGATCCTGACTGTCATTTCTCATTTCTGGAATGTTTTTATCAAACCATCTACTACTTGTTCTTCAAAACTATTTCTTAACTGAACATTCTTTGGTTAATTACTCGTGTTAATCTACCATAGTAGCTCTAAATGTCCTGGATGTTTATGATGTGACTATGCTTGTAAGTTGTATTTACTGTCCTGTTTGCTCTGTTAAGTTCCAAGTCAATCAGCTAGGAATTATTTAGTACTGATGCTGCATATTTTCCATTAGTTATCAGGTGAAGTAACAGAGAAATACAATACACATCCCTCACCTCACGGAGCTCAAAAGTGTTTTTGCATTGGGAGGGGAACTTGGAGGATGTCAATAGAATACTGACTAAACACTGCCTAGAATCCTCCAGTGACAACCTAAAAAAGGCCTTTTCTCTTTGTGGTCAGAGGATAATTTATGATGCTGATGAAGTAATACCCAGGAACCCTGAGTTATGAGCTAGGGAAGGCTGACCAAAAAAGAAAGGAAAAGAAAACCGAAGAAAAATTTCATCCAGATTTAACATGGGAAATTAGTTACAATGGAACATGCAAATGTATCAGCTGGAATAACTCTGCCACTTAATAGCCCTGCAATCTTGGATACTCTTCAACAGCCTAAGTTTCCTTATCAGAAAAATGGAAACATCACCCATCCCACAGGTCCTCATGAGAACTGCATGAAATTATATGAAACTCTCTTGTTTTCTATTAAATACAATTTAAACATAAGATATCAATATTAGTTTAATACTCTTTCAAATATAGTATGCAAAGTAGTCTATACCAATGAAGACAGAATCTCAAAGAACAGGGTTGGGAATATAAACTGTATGAGACTGAATATCAGAATTTGTTTTTGGGGGGCCACTGGGGATCAAACTCAGGGACACTTTACCACTAAACCATATCCCTACCCCCCCCCGCCCCCCTTTTTAAACTTGGAGACGGTCTTGCTAAGTTCCTTAGGGCTTCACCAAGTTGCTGAGGCCGAACTCGAACTTGCAATTCTCCTGCCTCAGCCTCCCAAGTGGCTAGGATTATAAAAGTGTGTCACCACAACTGGCTCAAGAATAGAATATTATAATGGTCAAAACTGGTAAAGGCCATTGCTCCTTCTGGCTTCTCTACAGTCAGATTTACAGCCACTGACCCAGTGCATATCACATCTGTTCAAAAGCTATGTTGCAAACTGAGAGCAAGGATATGCTAAATAAGGATGGGTGTAGGTAGAAGATCACCAAAGCACTTCATTCCAGCTTACAGGCCTCCATATTTAGCCAACTTCTGTAACCCTGATGGCACATACAATACTCATATGATATATAGCGTAATTTGGGGAAGTTGCCCTATTACCAATCTCTCCCCCCTTCACAATCCAGCTTACTTCCAGTTACCTTCTTTTTTTCTCTGTGTAATTTTCTGTGGAAAAATACACAGAAAAAAAAGAATCTTTCATGCAAAACCTAGTGGTAATGATGCAGTTGAGCATTGTGATCACTGATAGAAAGGGCTAGATACTTGATTTGTGAGCCTAGAACAGAAGCTTCTGTAGTTTGTTCCATTTTTCTTTGAAAGAGTTGGAATCCTTATATCACTTTCTGAATAAGCTCTGAAGCCAGGACAATTTCAGCCCATAAAGACCACGACAGGATCCTCCATCTTTATAGTGCTGCAATTTGGATTCTAAGGACATTCTTCTGTACTGCTCCCAAGAAAATACAATGATATTGTCTTTGATGTGGAGCCTCAATGTCTGTATTTGGCACTGCTTCAACTAGTGTTTTGTCCTTGGAAACTTCCCCAGCTCCTAACAAGCTGAAGCCCAGATCCCCAGGTTTCCCCGTGGCCACATGTAACATCCTCTGGAGTCAATGCCGCAGGGAACACGAAGATCGCAGGAGAGGTTGTAGATTCTGCTACAGACTAATTTTATTGATTCACCCCTTGGTCCTGGGCCAAGTGTATGTCTTCAAGCTCTCATTTTCCCCAGCAATGTCCCAAACAACCGAACACCTGCTGCAGGGGCTCCCAGACTGGCTTACCTCTGACAGGACCCAGCACCCGGTGGTTGACCTTTTGGGTGCTAGAGCCCAGGCCTGGCAGCCCTGCAGGCCGACTGCCATGAAAAGGAAAGCTGGGGGAGTTCTTCATCTGTGGAGAATTCTGTTGGCTGCTGCTGCTACCACCAGCACTTGTGCCAGTGCTAAAACTTCGTGCCCGGCTCAAGGTGTTTTCAGAGCAGGAAATGGGCAATACACTGCAAAGAAGCAGATGCCAATCAACTCTGGGTCAGGCTTTCTCAGGGCTTTCCCCAGGGTCTGATATTCAGTAAAACTTTCACCTTGGGGTAAAAGAACTCATTTAAAGGAAGAAGGGAGGAATTCATCTCCGTAGATGAGGTATTTAACCTGGGGCATACCAGCTAATAGCAGGGCTGTCCTGAGCAGCTTTATCTCCCAATGGATTCCTCCCTTACAGCCCTGGCACTGGCCCTTCCACTTCCTTCAATCAATCATTCACCACCTTTGAAAGTTTAGTGCAAAGTTCTATAATAGGGAGTCCCTTGGCCTGATTTTCAGGTTTCTTAGAAGTATGTAACTCCTGGTGAAAGGGAAGTGGATCCCATCTCAAAAAAATGATCTTGCTAATTCTAATTTACCCAGAAAATTCTCAGCATGTGGTGCTTTTAGAAAGAGGGAAGGAATACAAATCCCATGGAACTCCTAGGTCTAAAGCCTTGCCCACTCTCCTGCCCTCTCCCTGCCATGCTGCTGGTCTTACTTGTTACTTTTGGGTGGAGTTCGAGAGCCTCTCTTCTTGCTGATGCCCATGTTCACAGTGCTGCTGAGGCCTCGGGTGTTTCGTACATGCTTTAGCATCCAGGCCCGTAGATTAGTGAGGCTGCTGTGCTCTGACAGCACAATTCGTGGCCATGGATTACATTCTGCCATGTCCAGAGCTGCAATGGCCATAGCTCGTCCCACCTGTGGGGGATTCCAGTTTGGCTTAGCATCTTGGACCCCTAATCCAGCCTGCTATGTGGGGTGGGTTACATAACACAAAGGAAGGGAAGAAGAGGCCAGACCTAAAATCTGCTCACTGGGTACCCTAAATTTGTGCCTAGATGTTCCCTAACCATTGACTATTTTAGGACACTCATCCATTTTAATAATAAAGGGAGATATTAGGGATTCAACCCAGGTTCACTAAGCTACATCCCCAGTCCTTTTTATTTTTTGAGACAGGGTCTCACTCATTTGCTGAGACTGACCTCAAACTTGCCATCCTCCTGCCTCAGCCTCAGTCACTATGATTATGGATATGTGCTACCAAATCTAATTCCATAATTAATTAATTAATTAATTATGGTACTTGGGATTGAACCCAGGGTACTTTACCACTGAGCTATATCCCCAGTCCTTTATTTTTTTAAATTTTGAGACAGGGCCTTAATTTATATATTGCTGAGACTGGCCTGGAACTTGAGATCATCCCACCCCAGCCTCCCAAATTGCTGGGATTACATGTGTATGCAACCACCCCTGCTGGGACCTCATTTATTATGGCAGGGGCAGATGTGCTTTCTGGCTCACATAAAGGAATTCTAACAGAAGGTGTTAGAATTTCTTTTCTAACCTGAAGCTCTTTCTACTCCCTTTGAACTCCCTAGAATAAGTAGTCACCAAGATCACAATAGTGGGGATACTTTTGAGCCCAGGAGTAAATAAACCTTCCAACAGAATGAGAAAGACCAACTCAGAGGTAAAGAATCTGACTCAGATGTGCTAGAGGATTCTCTGTTCATTCTCTCAATACCCTTATAGTCTATAGGAGCCATGCTCCTATTAACACAGTGGTGAGATGATTACATCAATGAACATCTCTGTAGAGGACCTTAGAGTCAGGTAACAAGAGGGAAGGTCTTTCCAGGTTTGAGGTTCCCCTTTCCCACTTATGCCAAGGATTCATACCTGCTCAAATAGTTCCACAGTGTATCTGGAAGGGAAAGCTGGCGGGGGAGGAGGGCTGGCACGCCCATTGTCGTGGCAGGCAGCAGGGATGCTGTTTACTGAGCGTCCAGTGTTGTAGTTGCATTCAAGTGTGTAGCTAAGACACAAAGACCTTTATCAGTGTCCTGCCTGAATGGATATCATGACAACCACAGGGGCCAGCCCTGTGGTCTAAGAAGATAATTACTTGGAAAAAAGTGAACACAAGTGGAAGGTGCTAACAACCCCTAGTAACTAGCTGTTTACCTTGGCACCACACTATGTACCCAATAAATCCCAGAAAAGGAGAGTCCTAGACTAAAATAATCCTGCTGATTGTAAGGCTCTCTTTTGAAAAGACTTGGATAGTCCTGGTCCCCTCAGGCCCTAAGCTGCCTATTATTTTCTTCATTTTGCTGCACTGGGACTGAACCCAGGGCACTAGGCATGCTAGGCAAATGCTCTACCACTGAGCTACACCCACAGACCCAGGGTATTTTCTTTAGGGAAGCTATCTCCTCAACTAAATACCAGTTTTCACCCAACCTGTGGATTATCCCTGAGGCTTTGTAGATTGCAACACGACCGCTTCCCTCTTTGGATTGGCCATCTCTACGGTCTCGAGCGTACATATTTTTCTCTGAGAAATTGCAGCCCTGGAAGTCAAAGTGGGCTGAATTCAAGGAGATGAGCTTTGGATATAGCATGTTTTCCACCTGTTGAGGGGAGAAAAATGTTCTTAGAAAGAGAGACAGAAAGAAGTGACAAGGGGCAAAGGAGAGATGGCAAGCATATGGCCATGTGACTCATACACAGCAGATACCACTATAACCCTAAAACCGTCAGTAGCAATTAACATTTTAAAAATTTTCAATGTTTGACATTATTTCTAGGTGTTAAGCAGATATAATTCTATCACATTTTAAGTTCTAAGTTTCTTTTCTCCAATAAAATGCAAAATTTTCTTTTCTCTTGGTTCCCCAAACTCTTAAGACTATGATGCTGACAGCATGAACCTCACTCAAAGGCATGATTTAATGGGATTTAATGATACAAGGCCCCGATGCTGATTCTTCTTGGCTCTTTGAAGTTCATATAGAGGCAGTCTGTATAGTACTTCCTTTCAGGCTATGTTTCCTCTCTGTGGCCTAGCCTTTTTTTATAATTACAATGATTCCCACATTCACATGACATCCTTAGGACTCCTACCTGGGTGCTCTCATCACTAAAGCTGTTTCCGTACATGAAGCAGCCCCTTTTGGAAGCATGTCCGTGCAGGTCCACATAGTAAGCAACACCACTCTCTTTGGGGGGAATTGTGTCAGGGGCTGGTGCCTCAAGTTCAGTAGACTGTTCTGGCATAATCCACTCACTGTTGGCCTTCTGTTCCACTGGCTCTGCCTGGGTCCAGGTCTCAGGGTTATCACTGTCAGATAACTGTCCAAGGCGACTTTCATTGTGGAGATTGTTGGCTTTCTCAAGATCAGAAAGAGGAGCATCACAAGGGAGGCGGGGACTGGGCTCGTGTTCAGAGGGACTCTGGGAGTTCAGACGAGAGTGCACATGGTGGTAAAGAAGCACAGCTTTAGCCCCAAAAATGGCCGGGTGCAGGACAGCATCAGGTTTCAGGTACTGACGGTTCAGATTCACTCCCCGTGAATCAGTGCTGTAGGAAAACAGGGACTGAAGCAAGGTCTAGAGGCCTGAGCCAGTGGATGACAAGGAGACTAAGAGATTGACTTATCAAAGAGAGGCTGAAATTGTGCTAGGAAAGAATTACAGACAGGACCCCTCACTGACCTGATGTCAACCTAAGATACCAGAGAAAACTAAGGATAGCACCCTCCACCCATATAGGCCTGCACCTATCCTAGTTTTGCTCCTTCCTAGGAATGCCACTAGATGAAATTCCCCTCTCAGGTCTCTGGAACATCAGATGGGCCTGCCCTTGTTAAGGCGCAAGAGGATTGGGAATACAGGAGAAGCTAGAAGGTAGCAATCTTTCACTGAGGAAAAAATGGCATATAGGAGGACTGGGAGCAATCCAGAAAGGATGGGGAGACTACTTACCGGTAGTGGCCCCGGACCACACCATCAGGATTCAACATGGGAATCAGCTTAAATACAAAAAGGCGGCGTAGGGTTTGGGCCCGGGGGTCATCGGGTCGAAGGATGAAGTCCAGAAAGCCATTGAAGACAAAGCTAGATGGAGTCTCCCCAGGGTGTACTCTGCTGCTTAAGAAGAAGATCTGAGGTGGAGAGGAGAGTAGACAGTTACACTACGGTTCCAATGACACACATCAGGAAGGAGTGGATGAGGCAGAAAAAGCCACTGGACTGCCAGCTGCCTGGGTCTGCAAGTGAAGCAGCAGCTGTCACCCTTGCCTTAGTCTATAGGCTGAGCTAGGTCCAGGATGCCTAGAGAAAACAGCTTTAAGCTAGTCACAGTGTCTGGAGCTACAAAAAGGGCAAAGAACTGCCTTTATGCTCTCCCCACTCACCCTCTTGCCTGTAAAACGGAATGGTCGGGGGGTGCTGGTATCAGGAAACAGCAGCTCTAGTCGGGGCTCTCGATCTTCTCGAAGCCCATGGCAGGAAGTGATTGTTAACAGATCCACACGAAGTCCATCCAGAGAATAGCAAAGGAGCTCCCGGTGGTAATAGATGGTATCCAGGGGGCTGCAGGAATAAAAATAATTACTCCAGAAGTTCCAAAAGACCTAGCAAGAGGTGGGCCTCATCACCAGCCCAAATTTGTAAAATCTGGTCCTTCATCCTAACCTCTTGGCCTCATAGTCCTTCACACTAGGATTTGGGTGGGTTTAGCATTGCTAGGATGCAGACTACAGGACAGAGTGAGTTTATTGTTTTTTCCCCAGTTAATGTCTCCTTAAAAGAGAATACTTTGTGTAGACAGAGACAGTTGCCCTCTGGGGGAACAGATGAGCAATGGCAGTGCTGGTTAAATCACAGATAATTGATAACTGAGCACTAGAATAGTAAGAGGCTTGAACTGGCAGGAAGGAGTGGACTAGATGGGATATACTGAAGTCAAGATCACAAGGAAACACATTTTTCAAAGGTGTCCAAAGTCCCACATTCTGTACAGAGAAAAGACTGATGAAGTTTTGGTGCAGAGATTTTAGGGTAAATTCCAGAAATAGCAGAGGTGCAGATACAGGATGGTATAGAAGGAGTAAGAATGGGGTTGGCACCTGTTATGGGTAGGGTGGTTCTCCAGAAAGCGCTGGTCTAATTGGTTTAGCAAATCCTGGCAGTCACTGTAGGAGAAAGGGTAGCAGAAGGCGAAGAAGGTGGTGGCCCCACGGCCCTCCACAAAACGATGAACAAAGGATAACACAAACTGCGTCTCTGTCATCTGAGGAGCAGAGAAAGAAGAGGGAGGAGCAACATGCCATTTGTGTCAGAACTGAGCTCCTGTTAGGGTCACTAGGAACTGACTTTACACCTTTTTCACCTCTACCAACTTCCTTCCCTCCCTCTGATACTTTCCATTAAGACAACCAGCTCTGTGGGGCTTCCAAAGGCAGGGGCTCACCTTAGCAGTGTAAGGAAAGCTGACACAGTAACCTGGGGTCCCACCTGCCTACTACTCTCTACCAAGAGCGAATTTATTGTTTACTTTCCTCTACTAGCACCCAAGTCCTCTCTCTTCTTCATGGAGAACTTACTTCAAAGGTGGGCCGGTCTCGAATGCGTTCCCAGCGTGGCCGGTAGGGCAGTGTGCGCACAAAGGGGGCCATACCCTGGGAATAAAGTTTGCTTTGCTTGTTCATGTTCATAATGTTGATCTTGATGAGTTTCCCTGGAGTTCCTCCCCGGACACTGAAGTAAAACCATGACCTGAGGGCCAGAGGAGAGATAGGTCATTATATTTGGGAGGTTGGAGATAGGACATGGTGGGAGCCCTGGAGCACACCAAACTGGGAAATGGCTATTTAGCAAGGAGGGGAAGAGGTGAGGAGGGGCTGGAAGAGGAAGGGTATGAACAAGTAAGTCAAATGGCCTCCAACTGAAGCATGGATTTGGGTACCTGAACATGCCTTTTCTCCTTCCACCCTCCGATTCTTTCCTCATACCTGTTCCCGTTCTCAAATTCGGTTTCTGCACAGTCTGGTCGGGTCCACACGTTGAACTCGTAGTCAGGGGAAGAAGCAATGCTAACAGTGGGGGCCGATGCCCCTCCTCCTACTCCTACTCCTTCCCCATCACTAGACACAGATTCCACCTTTTCCACATGGGCTAGGTTCCCTGAATCAAAGCGAGAACTGAACAGCAATCCCCCACAGCGCAGCTCCATGGTGGGGCTGGGAAAGCATCCTCTTGCCCCACTCTGGCCCTGAGAGCTGGGGAAAAGAGGGTTGGGGTAGGAAGGGAGAACAAAAATTAAACATGATTTTTTGGGTATCTCTGGATAAGTGAGAGCTGTTCTTAGGGAGTGTCCTGTGAAGCAAAATGCTCGCTCATTAAAAAATATGGACGTGACCTTCCAGCAAGACCAAGAGAAAAACAATACTCTACCCTATGCTAAGGGTTATGACTGACTTAAAGGGATCCCATTTTGCTATAATGCCTTGTTTTCAAATCAAATAAATATGCAATGGCTAAAGTGTTGAGACAAGAGCAAAGCTTTTTTGCAGTCCAAAGAGTAGAGATTGAGAAATCAGATTTCCCAAAACTAGCCATTACACACTTACCCACAGCACATGGCCATCTTTAGAGATGGCCATTCTGGACCTATTCCAGGAGAACCAAAACTCTTATGTTTGAATGACTCGCTCCCTCCCTTTGCTCCTGTGTCCTCACAAGTATGGACCAGAATTCTGCTGTTGCTTTCCTGGGCCCTGAAGGGCTGATTCATCCCTTTTTTCTTTTCTTTCTTTTTTTTTTTTTTGCTCCTACTCTATGCCTATTATGGACGAAAACTATAAAAGTGTGGTCTGTGCCAAGCCAAAGGAAACTGGGCAGATGCCACCTGCTCACCTAGAGCCCTCAGCTCAGCTCCAGTTAAGGCACGGGTCTGTTTCCATTTCTTGCCCTGTAGACACTGGAACCCCTGCAAAAGCTACCCTGGTAGTTGTGGGTCAGTAACGGGTGTCCTAAACACTGCTAAAAAAGCTGGGCTGGTAGAGTCCCGCCTGGGGGCAAGGGGCGGCTTCGCGACCCCCGAACTCTGGAGGTCCCTCACACTGTCGGGCTTGCCCTATTTGGAGAAACTGGAAGGGTTGAGACAGACACACTGGAGGGGGTGGGAAGGCACGGCCTAGGGGTCAGAGGTGAGGCTACAGAGGGCAGGAGGCTGAGGACGGCCACCCGGCAGCTGGGCAGGCAGGGGCGGGGTCGCCTGTCCCGGCCAGGCCGGGGGCGGGGTGGCCTTCGAGAGGGGCTCGGGCTGGAGGGGCTGCGAGAAGGGGGCGGGGCCGCAATGCACGCAGAGCCCCTCACCTCTCTCCGGGCCGGTGCTCCCGCTCCCTCTCCCGCTAGCGAGGCGGCACCTCGGGCCCCGGCACCCGGGTCCTCCACCCAGGACCCAAACAAAACCCGAGTGCCGCGGTGCCGGGACCCCGCTCTGCCAGGAAACAAGAAGTCTCTCGCCTATTGGCCGCGGCTGCAGCTGGCTACCCGCCCAGTAAAGCGCACTGCCATTGGTCAGCAAGCAGGGTTCCGCGCACGTTAGCGGGTACCTGCACCAGTGCCGTTTGGGGGCTCTGGCGGACAGGCGCGGACAGGATTCCAGCCAAGTCTCTGTAGGCGGTTAACGGCCTGTCTCCCAGACGCGGGAAAGATAAAAGTGACCGAGCAGGAGTCGGGAAAAGACTCACTGCGAATAAAAGGGAGCCATACGGAGCCGATCACCACTTAGCGTGCCCCTCATTACACTGTATATTAAAACACCCACCCAGGTTCTGCCGATCTCCCGGGCAGCCAGTGTAAAGAGCAGGAAGAAAAAAAAAAAAAAAGGTTCCTAGTGGAGGATGCGGGCATCGATCCCGCTACCTCTCGCATGCTAAGCGAGCGCTCTACCATTTGAGCTAATCCCCCAGCTGCTGAGGCTCGCTTTCCTTCTGCCTTACAGGTTGTTTTGAGCTGTCCACCGACCAATGGATAGATCAACTGCAATTAGGAATATTTATTTAACAATGGAAGCGAGGGCAAACTTTTGAAAATAAGGCATATAATAACTACACATGAAGAATAAAGTTCTACTTTGAGGCACACGTCGATATTTCTTCGTATGTGACGCTTAACCGAGCTGTACTGTACACCAACACTGCCGGTCTTACCGGATATCCGAAGTACCAACACAAGGTCATTGCCGACCTCTAAGGAAGCCATAGGTAATTGAACTAAACTGGGGTTAAAAAAAAAAAATTGTACGAAGTCCTTCGAGCCGGAATCGAACCAGCGACCTAAGGATTGCCACAGGATTTCCACTACAGTCCTCCGCTCTACCAACTGAGCTATCGAAGGCCCCGCTGCTCATTGGGCCTGCAGGTTCCCCTCTAATAGCTACTGAGGCTATATTCTTTCAATGAGCCTGTTCCACACCCTGATTTTCAGCCAAAGCAACCCGCCGGGACTGGAGTTTCTCCGGGTTCCACAGAGCCGGAGATGGGTAAGAACGCTGCCCCAAACTCCAGTTCCTAACCCAGGGCGAAAGAAACCTAGGAAATGTGCTTCACTGACGTTTCCCTGCTTTTAACAAAATGTTGCGCCCTGTGACACTGCCTACAGATCGCGTAGACAGCCGTCACACGGTTGAGTTTCTGGGCAGCGTTTCTCCATCTTGTGGGCGCACGGGCTCCACGTCGCGACGCGCAAATCCACTGCGTAAAGCCGATGCATCGTATTTGCTTCCCTACTTCCACAGTTTCCTTCGTTTTTTTGGGGGTCCCAGCAAAATGCATGCTTTACTGGATGCGAAGACATCCATCCTCTCAATCATCTAACTTTTTGTCGGAATCGATTCGTCCTGAACAGAACAAAAAAGGCTGTTGAGGCTGTGCCGAATCCCCTGGGCCCTGGCGGCCCTGGCGGCGGGGATTCGGGTGGGGGCGATGCGCCACCCACCCCGCAGCAGCTACAAGTGTGGCAAGGGCAGCGAGCTGGATGTCCCGCACTTCCAGCCCTCGGAAGTGCTCACAAGCAGGAAGGATTCTTCTGCCGCAACCCCAGAGACCCACGTTGGGTCGGGGACGGGACCGTCCTACAGTGCCCGGCTCGGGGCACTGGTCGCCCTTATGGGTTTATGCACAGGTTCTCTTGCCCTTGGAGAATCGCGTTTCCCCAGGGCCTGGGACTCCCCAGCCACCGAGGGTGTAGGTATCTTTTGTGGGATCATGGACTGACCCCGCTACCTGCCCTACCTCTACCGCCACCCGGTTCACATTTCGCTGATTTTTTTTTTGGCCTGCAGTGCCAGCCCACAAGCCTTGGCTCACCGAAAGCTATCGAATTATAAAACACAGAAACCAACCCTAGCTCCTTTGTGAAGCCTTGCTTGGTAGACTGTCGGGGTGAGTGTGCAGGGAGACCTGGCCTCCAGCTCCCGCCAAAGGCTACCTTGAGCAAAGGTAAATCCAGGCCCTGGCAAATCCAGGTCAGGCAGTAGTTTTAGGTCAACTTCAGTCTGCTGCTCAGAACAATTAACCATTTTAAAGTGAGCAGTTCTGTGTCATTTAGTGCAATCACCATGCTGTGCAAATACCACCTCTCTCTAGTTTCAAAACTTTTTAACCACCTCTGACTACATCCCCTACTGATATCGCTGGTTATCGGAGTCCTACTTCCTCACATGTTGAAGTTTGAACATTAGAGAAGCGAGCAGAAGCAAGCATATAAAGCAGGATTTATTCAAAAAGGGGCAACAGACTTCTCCCTGGAAGAAGAAGGGGCCATAACTGGTATCCCTGTATCCCCAGAAGCGAGGTGTTCTGCTCTTTTTATATGTCCTAGGCATCCTTTGTTCCTCTTCCCCTCATCTCTCTCCTTCCAGCCTACGTGTCTAGGCCCGGGAATGCTCTGTGGGATGGCCAAAAGGTGGGAAACAGGTAGGCTGAAGGGGGAAGGGCTGCATGGAACAGCCAGGACACGTTAATTAACAACCCTACAGCTCCCTGTAGGGGGGGCGACAATTCCTAGGGCAGGTTGCCTTAGCAACAGGGTGGAGCAGAGGGAGGTTCTTGGTAAGTGTGGAGGAAGGGCTCTAAAGGAATTAACATTTCAATCCCTCAGGGGACAATCTCCAACCTGCTGGGCTCGCTCAAAATTGACCTCCTTGATCCGACCTGACTGGATTTACCTATCTACACTGACTGCCTGTCTA